CATACCCATCCATTAGAAACTCATTTCCCATATCCTTACTTAACCATGTCTCAGAGAAAGCCACTATGTTCAAAGGATTTACATTGTTTTAAGCAGTCCTGGATGGAATCAAAATTGTCAAATAAACTTCTACTGTTAAAGTGAACTAAAGAAATTACGTTATCCAGTGTGAATTCTTTGTGAAATGTGTCTTCAGTAAAATACATACAATCATTGTGTTCGAGAATACTGCTGTCCGGATCAATTTCATTCATTGAACTTTGTGATTTATAATTAATATTGTTGGTGATTTTGATCATTTGGTCCAAACTGAGATCATATATATTTGTGTCAGCCTCCTCAACGTCAGAGGAGTCTATACTATCCAAGCTGGACATATATTTCTTTGTCAGAAACATAAATCAGAGAAGAGGGGGAGCAGTCACAGAGCGAAGGGCCACAGACACACAACAGACACAAGCACACAACAGACACACAACAGACACAAGCACACAACAACATGATCTCCCAAGCAAACACACAAACAATATTTTCACCCACTCCCACACAATCACACTCACGCCGGTAACGAGCGCTGCCTCCCAGTTCTGCTTCCTCGGTTCTGAGATATGGTCGCGCTCTCCACGTCTGACCAATCCGTCGCTGCTGCTAATCAGCACCAGCCTTGAAAATCAGCCTGCTCCTTCTGTGCGCGGCGGCTTGAATCAGTGTCTTGTCTGCTTTTGTTCTGAGAGAACGTGTTTTCTGTGTGCGCTAAAGCCTAATCTTAAGGTTGCCTGTGTGGCTCTGTGTTGTGTTTATTTGAGAACCCTGTGTTTTTGTGTGTTTTATTTTGACTCTGACGCTGTCCAGTACAAACTGTTACCCCCTTTTGCATGTTTTATTAAAAGGTCATTTAAATTACCATTTTTACATCTTGGTTTTATGTTACATCCCTCTTCCCCGACGAGCTCAACTATAGGGTTGTAACAGTGAGCGTGCATGATTTCCACTGGAGCTTCGGCTAAACCAGGGAGCCATTTGGGAAGGTTCACTGTAAGGTAAGACAGCATATTCCCACGTTCTTCTCCTTCCTTGATGTTTAGAATGTGAATGTTGTCGCGTCTGCTCCTGTCCTCAAATGACACCAATTTAAGCTCCATTTGGCTGAGAGCCTGTGAGAGATTGCTTTGGACACGGGTGTCAATGGAGGCCACAATGGCACGCTGAGACTCCATTTCTGCCGCATGTTTAGAGAGAGTGTTCTGGATTGAGCCTAGTTGATCCTCTAGGCGCTCGAATCGCTCCTTAGATTCATCCTCCGCTCTTTTGAAAAACTTTTCCAGAGCAGACTCGAGACAGGCTTCAGTAAGCGCACGAGTGGAGGTATCGGTCTCATAGTCCACTTGTAGCTTGCTCATTTTGGCCTTGGAGCTGGTCACTAACACAGACACATCAACACGTCACACATGGTACTTACTTGCTGGTCACTAACACAGACACATAAACACGCCACACATGGTATTTACTTGCTGGTCACTAACACAGACACATCAACACGTCACACATGGTACTTACTTGCTGGTCACTAACACAGACACATAAACACGTCACACATGGTACTTACTTGCTGGTCACTAACACAGACACATAAACACGTCACACATGGTACTTACTTGCTGGTCACTAACACAGACACATCCACATGTCACACATGGTACTTACTTGCTGGTCACTAACACAGACACATAAACACGTCACACATGGTACTTACTTGCTGGTCACTAACACAGACACATAAACACGTCACACATGGTCCTTACTTGCTGGTCACTAACACAGACACATCTAAACATTGTGGTAAATAATCTCTGTGGCTTAACTGGGTTTTCCTCCCGCACAAACAGTGATAGTGATATGGAAATGATCAGACTCTTCTAGATTTACAAAAGAAGGTTTAATGTATAAAAACAGAATAAAGGCACATTACAGGCTAAGCTTCATAACCTGGGTCTCCTGCAAGATGCACCGATGGAAAGACTAACACTGAAGCAAACGCTGCTTTCTTATAGTAGCAGAGGGGCCTTATGGTTGGTCAGACACCAGATGTCGTAAACACACATGTCATTCAATAATCTTGTGGACTAGTCCTGGTTAAACTCTGTATCTCTGAGTCTGTCGTCCCCGAGGGTCTCACCTCAGGCTCTTATTTGCAGGAAATGTTTTAGGACGATCAGGAGAATGAACGCTCAGAAGAAAGTCTGGATTCTGGGATCAACAGAAAGAAAAACTTACCTGGTTTTACAGACACAGTAAGTGATGATTTCTCTCCTTCGTAATCACCCACAGCAGATGTGAATCCACCTGGTCTGACTCCACATGGTCTGACTCCACATGGTCTGACTCCACCTGATCTGACTCCACCTGGTCTGACACAATCACAGACTTCTGTTTTACGGGAGAAAATGGCCCAACCTTTCTAGAAACAGATAATCATAGACCTCCAGACTTTTAAAGGCTTTTAACTTTTCTTGTGTGAAGGGTCGAGGGTTTTAAGTAAGAGTAAATGTCTCACAGATCAGGGCCAAGACTGAGGCGAGTCTGACGTTTGTGGTCCTCCTCGGTCTCATCTGGGCTGTGGATGTGTTCAGTTCAGTCTCCTATACTTATTTTAATCTCATCTTTATGTCTTCTCTGATCTCCTTGTGTTAAAGTACTTATATACAGTGCATTTCTCCCACTAAGTCTTTTAAAAGTACTGGTCTCATCCATGCTTCTGTTTGTGCTGCTCTGTCTTCTTGCCGCACAGCGAGTGACGGATGTACACAAAGATCCTCCAATTCCCAGGAAGAAAACGCTTGTGGTTTTTTTAATCGACCTCTGAGATGTTGTCGTCGGGATTCAAACCCACATTTACGTGATAATCTTGGTTGCTCCGACTACGACCAACTTGTCATTTTCTTGGCACAATGGATAGGGCATTGGATTTGAGCAGTGATTCAAAGGTTGTGAGTTCAATTCCCACAGGAGTCAATTTTTTGAAGAGGGGAAGGGGAAGGCGGGGGGTGGAGGATGGAGAGGTGGGTGGTTGAGTGTTGGACGAGGGGGACGGGTAGGTAGAGGGGTTTTTTGGTGATGGGTTAGGGGACGGGTGGGCTTAGGTGGAGGTATTGGGTGTTGAACGAGGGGGAATTGGGGGTGAAATGGTTATGAGGTTAGGGGAAGGACGGGCTGAAGTGGTTTTTGTAGGTGAATTAGTAGAATTGGATACCCTAGGTGGCTTTGGAGGTACATATGGGGAGTTCTCCAGATTGAGCTAATATGGGTGTGAGAGGAATAGTCTTCATCGCTGATTTTATTAGCCCTGCAGAGTGTTCAGGTAGGTCTTAACATGGAAAAAAGTTACGCGCGTCTGCTGCGCGTATAACGCGTACGTGCTGTAACGCGTGATGTGTGAATTAGCAGTAACAGTGAAGCCGGGGATGAAAAACAAAGGGACAGCCACTCCCTTGATGGAGTGGCTGTGGCAGGGGGGGCCCAAGACAGGTCCATGGGAGCCTTTGGTGGAGGGGGAGGTGGTTGAAGAAACCCCAGCACCGGCCTGTCTGCTGTAGCCTGGGGGGAGGATGGGGGCTTCAGAGGAGCTGTAGGTGGAGAAGGCGTGACTGCTTCTCAGCGGCTGGGGATGAGGATGAGGATGATGGTGGTGCTGCTGGTGATGATGCAGCTGCTGCTGGTGACGGTGTAGGTGTTGAGATCCTTCGAGGCAGTGGAGGTACAGAGACCTTTGGAGTCGGTGGAGATGTTTGTGTCGCTGGAGAAGCCCTTTGCTTCTTCCTCCCTTTCGATGGCTGCACGCGCTGCGCAGGCTGAGGTCTCAGGGCAAAAGAAAAGTTATCCATCAACACTTTAACTCCGTAAGTGTTCAAATGTGGACCTTTTCCTTCAAAAAGCTCATGCCTATTCCAGAACAGATTATAAGTATACACAATATATAAGCTCTGTTTCCACCAGCCCTACTCTACTCTACTCTACCCTACCCTACTCTACTCTACTCTACTCTACTCTACTCTACTCTACTCTACTCTACTCTACTCTACTCTACTCTACCCTACTCTACTCTACCCTACTCTACTCTACTCTACCCTACTCTACTCTACTCTACCCTACCCTACCCTACCCTGACCTACCCTACCCTACCCTACTCTACTCTACTCTACTCTACTCTACTCTACTCTACTCTACTCTACTCTACTCTACTCTACTGTTTCCTCTGGTCTTGTGTAACCAGTACCAGGTCCATATATTTCTCTGCTTCATAAATGATTTCATAACTGTATTGACACAAACTGAGACATGAACAAAGAGAGGCTCAAACACAGACCACAGTCAGAAAGAAGTTTAACAAGTTTAATGTTCAAAAAGCACTAAAAACATCCAAAAACAGGCAGAATCAGAATCATTTTTATTGCCATGTAAGTAACAGGAAGTCACAGACGAGGAAACTGCTTTGGCTCTCGCTGCAAACAACTCAAAAGTAGAGAAGAGAAGAATAAGGCAGAATAAAACATTTCTAAACATTTCTAAAGTTTAGCATTTCCTAAAAATAGAAAGAGTTCAAAGTAAAGTTATTATGATTATTATTATTTACAAGTGCACTCGGTGAACACAAGGAAGGAGCGAGACACAGACTCTGGAGCAGGCAACACACACTTTACATGACATATAGATCATAATGAGAAAAGTGCTCATCCCGCTCCCTAAACACATGAACAGAAGGAGACCGATCCCACAGAGTTAAACACATGAACAGAAGGAGACCGATCCCACAGAGTTAAACACATGAACAGAAGGAGACCGATCCCACAGAGTTAAACACATGAACAGAAGGAGACCGATCCCACAGAGTTAAACACATGAACAGAAGGAGACCGATCCCACAGAGTTAAACACATGAACAGAAGGAGACCGATCCCACAGAGTTAAACACATGAACAGAAGGAGACCGATCCCACAGAGTCTCACTCAGACCCAGGACACAGAGACACTGAGGAGCCTTCATCCAGGAGCCTAAACCCAGGGACCAGAGACTGAGAGAAGGTGGAGCTGAAGGTGTGGAGGTGGATCAGTCCCTCAGAGGAGACTGTGTAGAAGGACAGAGACCCAGCAGGACAGTCCACAAAGACTCCCACTGTCCCAGAGGAGGAGGACCAGGACTGAGGGAGGTCGGTTATATTGTTATTATGACGAACAGAGAAACCATGTTCAGAGCAGAGCAGACTCCAGGACTGAGGGTTGTATCCAAACACACAGTCATAACTGCGTCCTTTCCTCTGGATGTTTCTGTAACTCACTGATATAGAAACCCTTCCGCTCCACTGGACCTCCCAGTACCAGCGACCAGTCAGACCAGATGAACACATGATCTGTTCCCATGAGTCAAATCTGTCCTGGTGCTCTGGATAGAGCTGCTGCTCCCTCACACGTGTCACCTTCTTGTTGTTGTCAGACAGTTTGAGGTTTGTGTGAGCGGAGTTTGGATCCAGAGTGAGATCACAGAGATCTGAGAACACAACACAGCAGCAGTTAGAGAGACCATGTGGACACACAGAGACCATGTGGACACACAGAGACCATGTGGACACACAGAGACCATGTGGACACACAGACACCATGTGGACACACAGAGACCATGTGGACACACAGAGACCATGTGGACACACAGAGACCATGTGGAAACACAAGGACCATGTGGACACACAGAGACCATGTGGACATGCAGAGACCATGTGGACACACAGAGACCATGGGACACACAGAGACCATGTGGACACGCAGAGACCATGTGGACAAACGGAGACCATGTGGACACACAGAGACCATGTGGAAACATGGAGACCATGTGGGCACAAAGAGACCATGTAGACACACAGAGACCATGGGACACACAGAGACAATGTGGACACGCAGAGACCATTTGGACACACGGAGACCATGTGGTCACAAAGAGACCATGTAGACACACAGCCACCATGTAGACACACAGCCACCATGGGACGCAGAGACAATGTGGACACACAGAGACCATGGGACACACAAAGACCATGTGGACAAACACACACATCTGAAACAGAGACCATGTGGACAAAAACATACATCTGACACAGAGACCATGTGGACACACAGACACCATTTGGACAAACACATACATCTGACGCAGAGACCATGTGGACAAACACATACATCTGACACAGAGACCATGTGGACAAACACATACATCTGACAGAGAGACCATGTGGACAATAGTATCACATGATGCTAACATGTAAATAGTATCACATGATGCTAACATGTAAACTAGTATCACATGATGCTAACATGTAAACTAGTATCACATGATGCTAACATGTAAAATAGTATCACATGATGCTAACATGTAAACTAGTATCACATGATGCTAACATGTAAACTAGTATCACATGATGCTAACATGTAAGCTAGTATCACATGATGCTAACATGTAAGCTAGTATTACATGATGCTAACATGTAAAATAGTATCACATGATGCTAACATGTAAAATAGTATCACATGATGCTAACATGTAAGCTAGTATTGCATGATGCTAACATGTAAAATAGTATCACATGATGCTAACATGTAAGCTAGTATCACATGATGCTAACATGTAAACTAGTATCACATGATGCTAACATGTAAAATAGTATCACATGATGCTAACATGTAAGCTAGTATCACATGATGCTAACATGTAAACTAGTATCACATGATGCTAACATGTAAGCTAGTATCACATGATGCTAACATGTAAGCTAGTATCACATGATGCTAACATGTAAACTAGTATCACATGATGCTAACATGTAAGCTAGTATCACATGATGCTAACATGTAAACTAGTATCACATGATGCTAACATGTAAACTAGTATCACATGATGCTAACATGTAAACTAGTATCACATGATGCTAACATGTAAGCTAGTATCACATGATGCTAACATGTAAACTAGTATCACATGATGCTAACATGTAAAATAGTATCACATGATGCTAACATGTAAACTAGTATCACATGATGCTAACATGTAAACTAGTATCACATGATGCTAACATGTAAACTAGTATCACATGATGCTAACATGTAAGCTAGTATCACATGATGCTAACATGTAAACTAGTATCACATGATGCTAACATGTAAACTAGTATCACATGATGCTAACATGTAAGCTAGTATCACATGATGCTAACATGTAAACTAGTATCACATGATGCTAACATGTAAACTAGTATCACATGATGCTAACATGTAAACTAGTATCACATGATGCTAACATGTAAGCTAGTATCACATGATGCTAACATGTAAAATAGTATCACATGATGCTAACATGTAAACTAGTATCACATGATGCTAACATGTAAACTAGTATCACATGATGCTAACATGTAAGCTAGTATCACATGATGCTAACATGTAAACTAGTATCACATGATGCTAACATGTAAGCTAGTATCACATGATGCTAACATGTAAGCTAGTATCACATGATGCTAACATGTAAGCTTGTATTGCATGATGCTAACACGTAAAATAGTTTCACATGATGCTAACATGTAAAATAGTATCAAATGATGCTAACATGTAAGCTAGTAATGCATGATGCTAACATGTAAACTAGTATCACATGATGCTAACATGTAAACGAGTATCACATGATGCTAACATGTAAACTACTATCACATGATGCTAACATGTAAGCTAGTATCACATGATGCTAACATGTAAGCTTGTATTGCATGATGCTAAAGGCGCTTGCACACTGAGTCCGAAATTTTCGGATGCGTATTTTGAATGCGTCATCCGAAAAAATTCGTTACGCACAATAACATTGCACACTGCATCCGATGCGTTTTTATTATTATATTCGTAACGAAATTTCGCTATCTGTGAGAGAAGATGGAGTCATCAAGCAGTGAGGAGGATTTTGTGTTGCTGTCAGTGCTTGAAAAAAGAAAGAAAAGAAAAAGGCGATACTGGGTGCACCCCATCCTCAGAAGTCGGGCAGAACGGGGAGAATACCACCTTCTTACAGATCTGCGTGGTTATCCTGACAGATTTAAAAGTACATTTAGAATGTCTGTAGCACAGTTTGATGCGCTGCTGACAACACTTGCGCCGCACATCAGAAAGAAGACCACACATTTCCGTGATCCGATTGGCCCTGAACAGCGACTTGCAGTGTGTCTTAGGTAAGCACGCACACACACACGAATACACACACACACGGATACACGAAAACACACACATGGACATGAACACGCACACACAGACACACACACACACACGCGGACACACAAACACACACACGGACATACGAACACACACGGACAAGCACACACAGACACACACACACGGACATACGAACACACACGGACACACACGGACAAGCACACACATACACACACACGGACAAGCACACAGAGACACACACACGGACACGGACACACAGACACACACACACACACACACACAGACACACACACGCACACACACACAGACTTTATACTATAGGGCCCACAGATAAAACAAATACATCAGATAAATAAATCACACTGTTCCCACTGAGGCAAGGCCAAGTGTAGGTCTTGCTTTAAATAACATTAAAATAATCCATAATCCAATGTATTCCCTGCTGCAAACATACACATCTTTGTTTTATTAGAAAATTCACTAACTATAACTTTCTTTATACACTTCGATTTTAGATATCTCTGCACAGGCGACTCTTTTACCACCATCGCCAATAGCTACAGGCTGGGCATCACCACTGTGGGGAAGATAGTGAGGGAGACCTGTGACCAAATCTGGAGGCAATTCCAGTCAGTCTACCTGCCCACACCAACAGCAGACACCTGGAAGACCACAGCAAAGAGGTAGTCTATTCTTATTTTACTTTGAGCATTGGATGGTTCATAATTAAGAATGTTTAGTGTTTTTATTTTGTTTAATTTTAGTATCCTCTTAACTCATGCCCTCAGGACTAATCAATTAATTAATAAACACTTATTTTTTTGTAGGTTCAATGAAAAATGTAACTTTCCCAATTGCTTTGGTGCCTTGGATGGGAAGCATGTGCAGATTGAGGCCCCTGCAAACTCAGGCTCCCTCTTCTATAATTACAAAGGGACCTTCTCCATAGTCCTCCTGGCGTTAGTGGACGAGGATTACCGTTTCCTCGCCATTGATGTGGGGAGCTATGGTGGGAACAGTGATGGGGGCATATTTGCAGACTCTGCTCTGGGACGAGCCCTGCAGCGTGGGACACTGCATGTTCCTCCTCCAGCGGAGCTCCCGTCTGCACCTGAACTGGGGAAGGTCAACCATGTGATTGTGGCAGACGAGGCTTTTCCCATGAAGCCGTACCTTCTCCGTCCGTACCCTGGAAGGCGTCTTGAAGAAGACAAACGCATCTTCAACCTCCGCTTGTCCAGAGCGCGCCGGATCTCAGAGAATGTGTTTGGGATCATGGTCCAGTGCTTCAGGGTTTATAAAAAACCGATGGAGGTGAACCCTGACCTGGTGGACAGTGTGGTGAAAGCAACCTGTGTGTTGCACAACTACCTGCGCCACGGAGCATTGGACCAAGCCCTCCAGGAGGAGCATCAGGGCGGCAGTGAGGAAGACAACTCTGCTGCTGCAGGGAACAACAACCCCTGTCTGCTGGACCTCCAGAGGCCAAGGGGAAACCGGGCATCTGCAGAGGCTCTGGGCATTCGTGACACCCTTAAAAAGTATTTCACCTCACCTGCTGGCGAGCTACCATGGCAGTATAGCCGTGTGCGCCGTGGACTCCATGGAAATCCATTATAGAACAGTAATTAAAACTAGATCAGCATTGTTATACATTTAAAATAAAAAGAACAAAACAAATCAATTTGTTTCTCTTTTAATTTGCATTCATTTAAAACAGTACAATCGTGAAACAACATTCATAAATACATAAAATACAGTAATCAATAAATAATTCTTTACTATCACACATTACCATGGACAGAAGACGCCATCCCCCTGTGGACTCACCCCCCTGCAGGAGAATCAGAAGAACTGGTGCAAATATTATTATTTACATAAATATATACAGTCATTACAATAAATAATTAAACCATTAAAAAAATCACAGGTGAAAGAAGTTTGGTTCCTGCTGATAGAGGGTATCAAAGGCAACGTGATGTACAAGTTCCTGCATTCTGATCTTGAGATAGGAGAGTTTTTGTGGGGTGAGTCTCCTCAAAGCGGGAGCCAAGCTAGAGAGAAAACAGGCCACCTCATCTGTCTGCTGCTCTTCCAACCTCTGGCGATGCTGCCGCTCTCTCTCACTTTCTCTCTCTCTTCTTTCCACTGAAGGTACCTCCCAATGCTGTCTTCACTATCTACTCTCTTCTTGCGCTTGGCACCGCTGCTACTGGAAGAAGCTGAGCCTGAGCTGTTCTCCATCTCTGGAACTCCCTCTTCATCGCTGGCCCTCACTATTTCAGTGCTGACCTCTCCCTCAATTTCTTCCTCCTCCTCTTCCTCCATCTCAATATTACTATCTGACCTGGTGAAAAGTAACTTGTGTAATGAAATTATACTGTATATTGAACTGCTCTTTGCTATTCTATTTTACAGTAGATGATACCTTCTCTTTGTTGTGGAAGATTGAAGGAAAGCCATTACGTCCATATACTTCCACTTCTTCTTCTTAATGGCAGCTTGTCCACTCCTGCCCTGTCCATCTCTTTTGTTGCGGACGTAGGTATCTCGCAGGTTCCGCCACATTTTCTTCACTGCTTCGACTAATACAAAACAAGACACATTTGTTAAAAGTAGCAATGTATGTGTGGTCTATGGTATCACTCTAATCAATGCATGAAGTGAATTATAAGATATATTTATTATTAATGAATATTTTGATATCCTGGACAGAATTTAGAATTATGTAAAGAAGTTATAGTATTGTAGTCAGCCAGCAACCATGTTTAATCACAGCGTACAATTATTATAGTCAATGGATAACATTAGCACAGGGCAAACTAATATAAACTAATAATACAGCACAAAGCACATATGTTAAAAGTAGGCACGTAGGTGGCCTACGTTATTATTCTTTTTATTGATAGTACGTGAGTAAACTCATTTCCAAGAGATGGGTGAACTTTGCAATGAGTTTGCTTTGCTTTATAAGCCACTTATGTGACCCGTCGGGCCCACTGACCTTTTAGCCTAGTGAAACCCAGCCCCTCATTAATCAGTGAGGGGGGAGAACACAGAATATACCTCCATGAATCTCTATATTCACCACTAAAGCCTTGAAGTACCTAATGTAATCATTCATTCGCTGGCTAGCTTGGCTACCGGCTGCTAGTTTTCCACGCTAGCGCTAACATGATAATAGCTGTGTTTAGCTGCCTATAAACCAATACATACCATCCCCGATTCCAAGCTGCTCCGCGATCTCCTGCCATATTTTGTCCTTTAGCTCAGCATCTTTATAATCACTGCTTTCTTTATCATAAAGTGGCTTTTGCTGGGAGACCAAATGAATGAGCCGCTCCTATGCCATGTTTACCTACGGCGGCTCGCTATGGACAACAACCCTCAAAAGGCTCATGACCGGCATATGACGGAACGAAAATTCGTAAAAAAACGAAGCTGTTCCGAAAAATTGAATGTCGGACGAATATTTCGGAGTCGGTGTGCAAGCGTAATTGACATAGCGTGGGTTCGTTTTTTTTTTTTTCGTGCGACAATTTCGCACGAAAAAAACGGACGAAAAACGGACCCAGTGTGCAAGCGCCTTTACACGTAAAATTGTTTCACATGATGCTAACATGTAAACTAGTATCACATGATGCTAACATGTAAAATAGTATCACATGATGCTAACATGTAAGCTAGTAATGCATGATGCTAACATGTAAACTAGTATCACATGATGCTAACATGTAAGCTAGTAATGCATGATGCTAACATGTAAACTAGTATCACATGATACTAACATGTAAGCTAGTATCACATGATGCTAACATGTAAACTACTATCACATGATGCTAACATGTAAAATAGTGTCACATGATGCTAACATGTAAAATAGTATCACATGATGCTAACATGTAAACTAGTATCACATGATGCTAACATGTAAAATAGTATCACATGATGCTAACATGTAAACTAGTATCACATGATGCTAACATGTAAACTAGTATCACATGATGCTAACATGTATAATACTATCACCTAATGCTAACATGTAAACTAGTATCACATGATGCTAACATGTAAACTAGTATCACATGATGCTAACATTTAAGCTAGTATCGCATGATGCTAACATGTAAGCTAGTATTGAATGATGCTAACATTTAAAATAGTATCACATGATGCTAACATGTAAACTAGTATCACATGATGCTAACGTGTAAACTGGTATCACATGATGCTAACATGTAAACTAGTATCACATGATGCTAACATGTAATTTAGTATTGCACGTTGCTAACATGTAAACTAGTATCACATGATGCTAACATGTATAATACTATCACATAATGCTAACGTGTAAGCTAGTATCGCATGATGCTAATATGTAAACTAGTATCATATGATGCTAACATGTATAATACTATCACATAATGCTAACGTGTAAGCTAGTATTGCATGATGCTAACATGTAAACTAGTATCACATGATGTTAACATGTAAACTAGTATCACATGATGCTAACATGTAAATAGTGTCACATGATGCTAACATGTAAGCTAGTATCACATGATGCTAACATGTAAACTAGTGTCACATGATGCTAACATGTAAACTAGTATCACATGATGCTAACATGTAAACTTGTATCACATGATGCTAACATGTAAACTAGTGTCACGTGATGCTAACATGTAAACTAGTATCACATGATGCTAACATGTAAATAGTATTACATGATGTTAACATGTAAACTAGTATCACATGATGCTAACATGTAAATAGTATTACATGATGCTAACATGTAAACTAGTATCACATGATGCTAACATGTAAACTAGTATCACATGATGCTAACATGTAAGCTAGTATCACATGATGCTAACATGTAAACTAGTATCACATGATGCTAACATGTAAACTAGTATCACATGATGCTAACATGTAAACTAGTATCACATGATGCTAACATGTAAGCTAGTATCACATGATGCTAACATGTAACTAGTATCACATGATGCTAACATGTAACTAGTATCACATGATGCTAACATGTAAACTAGTATCACATGATGCTAACATGTAAACTAGTATCACATGATGCTAACATGTAAAATAGTATCACATGATGCTAACATGTAAACTAGTATCACATGATGCTAACATGTAAACTAGTATCACATGATGCTAACATGTAAACTAGTATCACATGATGCTAACATGTAAACTAGTATCACATGATGCTAACATGTAAACAAGAATCACATGATGCTTACATGTAAGCTAGTATCACATGATGCTAACATGTAAGCTAGTGTCACATGATGCTAACATGTAAACTAGTATCACATGATGCTAACATGTAAACTAGTATCACATGATGCTAACATGTAAGCTAGTATCACATGATGCTAACATGTAAGCTAGTATCACATGATGCTAACATGTAAACTAGTATCACATGATGCTAACATGTAAACTAGTATCACATGATGCTAACATGTAAACTAGTATCACATGATGCTAACATGTAAACTAGTATCACATGATGCTAACATGTAAACTAGTATCACATGATGCTAACATGTAAACTAGTATCACATGATGCTAACATGTAAACTAGTATCACATGATGCTAACATGTAAACTAGTATCACATGATGCTAACATGTAAACTAGTATCACATGACGCTAACATGTAAGCTAGTATCACATGATGCTAACATGTAAGCTAGTATCACATGATGCTAACATTTACAGTTTTTCTAAGTCGCTTTGGTGCATTTCTCACATCAGACTTAAAGTTTTCAAAACTATTAGTTCAACCTCTGAATGAATGAATGAATATTTTTATTTTGGACCTTTAAAATGAGAAAAACCAAGCAAAAGCAATTACACATTGTTTAAACAAATCAAATAAACAATGTCCAAAATAGGAGTGGGAAGAAGTTAAAGAAACCTGTGTAATTCCTACTTACAACTCTGACTTTACAGAATAAATAATATCTTCAGTTACCATTTGTAACCAAGCGCTTGGAAGTTTTTAACATGCCTCACGAACATATTTATCAAAAATAATGGCTTTGTACTTGTTTTTAAACTCCAATATTGTTCGACATGTTTTAATTTCCTCGTCCAATGTATTCAATGTTTTAGTCCACTGACAGTAACACAAAAGCTTTTTAAATTGGAACAAAAACAATCCTCTTCAATTATAACACGTATCCCTTTGAATAAACATATTCTGAATGTGTGCAGCTGTTTACGTCTCGCTCTGAATAAAATAAGACGTGTTTGCAAATCAATCAGGTCGTGAATCTTTATTATTTGTGACTGAATGAATAATGGCTTTGTGTGATCTCTGTGTCCGGCTTTATTGATGATTCTTATTGCCTTTTTTTGCAGTTTGACGAGTGGATTTAGCGTGGTTTTGTAAATGTTGCCCCAGATCTCAGCACAGTAACTAAAATATGGTGAAATTAGTGAATGGTTTAATGTGTGCACTGATTGTGTGTCCAATATAACTTTTGCTTTGTATAAGATTGCAATGCTTTTTGATATTTTCTTTTGTATGTATGCTATGTGACTCTTCCAATTTAATTTATCCTCAATTATGACTCCCAGAAATGTATTGTCTGTTACTCTTTCAGTTTCAACACCTTCTATTTCAAGCGTTACTTCTTCCTTATCTTTAACATTTCCAAAAAACATCATTTTAGTTTTGTTCAAATGTAATGATAATTTATTTGGAGCAAACCATTTTTGTATCCCTCCTGTGGACTCACCACCTGCAGAGGGTCAGTGAGGGGCTGGTGCTATGAGACTTGGGTGCATCTCTGACTGCCACCCCCCTGACCCAGAAATGGATTAAAGGGAAGAAAATGGATGGATGGCATTGTTTTAACTTGTTCATTTCTGTTTCTATCTGAGTTGTGAGTTCGCTTCAGTTGTGACTTGCACAAAACAAATTTGTGTCATCAGCAAAGAGCACAGTTTTGAAAATGTGCGACACATTACACTAATCATGAATATATAAAATAAATAGCTTTGGACCCACTACTGCCCCCTGGGGGACACCACATACAACATCCACATATGGAGAGCTGACATCATCAAGCTTCACAAACTGTTTTTATCCATTCTAATGCAATATCCCATATTTCTCTAACTTCTCTATTCATATATTGTGATTTATTGTATCAAATGCTTTTTTCAAGTCTAAAAAAAGCCCAGCTGTGATTTTCCCTTCATCTAAGAAATGTGTGATTTCTTCAACAGACTCCATTCATGCAGATGTGGACCGTTTTGCCCTGAAACCATATTGACTGTCATGTAGTATGTTATGCTTGTCCACAAATGTATCTAATCTATCAGTGTAAAGTGTTTCTAATACTTTAGAGAATTGCGGTAATAAGGATACAGGTCTATAGTTGGTAAAATGATGCTTATTTCCAGTTTTGAATAGTGCTATCACTTTTGCTATCTTCATACTGTTTGGGACTGTGCCTGTAATGAATGATACATTGAAGATGTGTACTAATGGTTTTGAGATATAATGAATGACTTCTTTTATCAAGGCCATGCTCACATCATTGTAATCACTTGATTTCTTACTTTTAAATGGACTGACTACTCCCAACATTTCCATTTCATCCACTGGCTGTAGAAACATGGAATGAGGATTAGTTTCTATTGGCTGTGCCCAAGAGGTTTCTCCCATGTTTTGTTTGGGGATTTTGGCTGCTAAGTCAGGACCAACATTAGCAAAGAATGTATTAAACTTACGAGCTGCATCTTCCATGCTGTGAATTTCCTGATCATTTTCCATGAAATGATTTGGGTAGTTATTATGATTGCATTTGCCTTTAATAATTTCATTTAGTGTATTCCATATCCCCTTCATATTACCTTTGTTATTTTCTATTAGCTTCCTCTAATATTCTTTCTTACTCTTTCTCATTATGCTTGTTTTTATATTTCTTGTATCTTATCTCTATTTTTTTTTCTTATAAAGTTTGTATACAATGTATTGTTCTTTCTGCATGCCTTAATAAGGCCTGTTGTCATCCAAGCATTTGTGTTGTGATTTTGGCTCCTCCTAGTGAAGTAAGGGACAGTCTTTATTGCACAGATGGGTGAATATCTGTATAACATTCTCATATGCCTCTTCTGTCTCCATTGTTCCATATATTGTATTCTAATCCTGCTCCATTAAATCATCCTTAAAAGTATTCATGTTCTCAACAGCTTGCATGCGTCTATAATATTGTTTATGACCCTTAATAGTTAGATTAGTTACAGTAAATATGGGTAAATGATCACTAATATCATTTATCAGCAGTCCACTAATTGTACCGCTGCTCATGTCATTTGTGAAACTTTTATCAATAAGAGTTGCACTATTTGTTGTTACTCTTGATGGTTTTGTTATTTTCAGAATTAGCATGTTAGCATGTAAGCTAGTATCACATGATGCTAACATGTAAGCTAGTATCACATGATGCTAACATGTACAGGTACTATGGTACAGCACAGCTCTGCTGGTGGAGCTGCAGTTGGCTGGATGACACTGTGCCACATTAGCTCCTTTGTGTTAGCGCAGAGGGCCACAGGACGCAGAGGGCCATATTTGGCCCGCAGGCCGCAGGTTGGACATGCCATGACCTTGTGAGTTCAGCTTTAGTCCTTGTCACCGCTGACTTTGTTTTTACTTCATTATTTATTTAAAGTGGTTCAGAGCGACACACGTTCTGTCCAGTTCTTCTGAAACATGTGGAACACGCTGGATTCTAAACAAATATGTTTCTGTGACAGTTTTTACCCAAAATGAACCTTCATTTCAACTTTGTCCATTTCCATTTTCCCCAAACTCAGCTCCATAAGCAGTGACAGATCCAGGAGAAGCTTTTAATGAAGTCACTTCAACACTTACACTTTCTGAGTCCTGGAGTTAACCTCTGAGCTCCAGAATGCTCCAGTCTGAAACACATTAAATCTCATTAAAACATCTGTCACACTGAGTCCGGTTATGGCGGCCATGTAGGGAAGACATGCTTTAGACCGCTCCGCTGCCCGGCTCAAATTATTAACCAATATTTGATTCTTTATTGTTTCCTTTATTGGATGGAACAACGTCTCCAGCAAAGGGAAGCAAAGTAAGCCAAGATGCCACCGAGAAGATTAAACAGCATAAACTAACGGAGTATGGCCATCGCAGCGAGGCACAGAAAGCTAATGCTAGCGGTAGCAACTCCCCACCCGGAATGGCGACGAGGGATGCGAGCGAAGACAGAACCCAGAGCAGTAAAGTGGATGAAATACTATCCATAGTTACTGCCATAAAAAGTGATTTGGATCATCTTCGACAGGATGTTCAGGACTGCGCCGAGCGAGTGACACAGGCAGAAACCCACACATCTAACGACGAAGATGAGGTTGAAACCCTGCGGGCTAAAGCTAGTGCACTGGAGTCGAAGCAGAACATCTTGGAAGACAAAGTAATGGACTTGGAATCGAGGTGAAGACGGAACAACGTTAGGCTTGTTAACTTGGATGAAGGTACCGAGGGAAGTGACCCGTGCAAGTTTCTGGAAAGGTGGATTCCTGAGATCCTGAGTATTTCACTTCAGACCCCGATGTTTATTGAAAGCACCGAGTTGGCCCACGGAAAGAACACGGCAGAGAGAGACCTCGCACTCTGATAATGCGTTTTCTCAACTACAGGGACAGGGAGGCTGTCCTGAACGCTGCAAAGGCCAAAGCGGACATTCGCTACGAAGGAGATTGGATCCGGTTTTACCCAGACCTGGCTGCGGGTCTGCAACAACTCCGGAAAAGATATGACTCTGTTCGGGAAGATCTACGCAAACTTGGATTGAGACGTGGCGTAACACACCAGGGGAAGCTGCCGGTGACATACGAGGAGAAGACGTGTGTGTTTGCATCTCCAGCGGAGGCGCCTGTTTTTGTAAATAACATCCTGACTGAAAGAGATCAGTGAAATAGGCCACATGCACGGGGAGGCGTGACGTCATTTCCTGTTAACAAAGATCAGCCCGTTCACTTCCTGTCTATGCTATCTATGGCTTTTAGTGACGTTTTAGTGACGTTTTTAGTAATTAGATTGATACATTCAGCTGAGACTGACCCAAAAGTGTGGACGTGCTTTCTCTCTGAGGTAGAGCTGTGACTGTGGCCACTCAGAGATTAGTAAACTTTATAAAAACACAATGACAGCACAATCAGAGAGCACTGCTGTGTCCCAGAAATGCCCAGTATCCTACAGTTTAATTCCCGTTTGAGCATTATTTGGGAAAGTCGTGTAAACCACTGAACTCCAGTGAAACTCAAGCCGTTCCCGCGCACAGGAAGTGAAGTGGGGTTGGAACTAAAACGCAGAAGTGGTGCGTGCATAGAGCCCATTGGTCTGTTTTGATTTACCTTCCGACCCAGCAGTGAGTATTCCTAAATAGTTTCAATTCTGTTTCTATTAACACTAACTCTTATAAAATGTGCCTTATATTTGTCACTGCTTTCATTTGGTGCAACACGGACTATTCAGGCTGTTTCAATGACTCTCGTGGTCGATTAGCGGCGAAGAATAAACAATATCTTGAGGTCTGCACGAGCGGCAGCGGTTTTGTTTTTGTTTGTTTTTTAGATAGAGAAGAATGGTAGACTGCTCCCCATTTTGTGTGGATCTGCCGCACGCAGTAACGGGACACGTAAAGGGGAGGGTGGGAGACCTGCAGAGGTTGGGGAAGGGGAGGGGTTTTGGTTTTAGTTCTTGTGTTCAAATGTTGGGTCATGTTAAGCTTCTTAGGAAAATGCAAGTGTATTTAAATAAGCTCAGAAAAGATATCTGTCAGGTTGTGATTAGTTGTTCTTATTATTGTGTTCAGTAGAATTTAGATCATCAAAATGGTACATGGAAAAGATATAAACATAGTTACTTGGAACTGCAGGGGTCTTCAACGATTCAAAAAGGTTCAACAGGTTATGACTAAATTAAAAGACATGGACTCAAAAATGTTATTTCTGCAAGAGACACATTTAGTAGAGGAAGACGGAAAAAGGGTTAGGAGGAGGTGGCGAGGTAATGTTTATACATCAGCATTTTCTTCACGGGCGAGGGGCGTCATGACTTTGATTCATGAATCAGTTCCATTGAACGTTAATAATATAATGAAGGAGAAGAGAGGCAGATATTTGATCATTCAAGGATCTATGCTGCACGAACACATACATTTAGTAAACGTGTATGGTCCAAATTCAGATGACTCCACTTTTTACCATGACCTCTTCCTTTTGCTTCCAACACTGCCGGGTCACTATGTACTTGCTGGTGATTTCAATTGTACCCTTGTCCCAAGTTAGGACAGGTCCACGGGCACTGATCAATCGCATAACTCATGCAGACTATTCAAAGATTTATGAAAGATTTTAAACTGATAGATATTTGGAGAAGCAGAAGACAATGGATGGATGGATGGACAATGGAACGGACAAATGCTGCACCGAACATAGCACACTTTAACTTTAAAGTAATGAATAAATTTGAATATATGGGGACCCAGATAATGCTGAATTTGGAGCAAACTGTTCAAATAAGAAAATAAACAGAGGTATTAATAATTTGATTGACAGATGGATGAAGTTGCCTATATCAATGTTGGGAAGAGTAAATGTACTAAAAATGACCGAAGCTTTTGTATTTATTCCAAAACATCCCTTTGCCTCCTCCAGATTTGTTTTCATGGTTAAAAAAATCACAGTGAATTTTATTTGGAACAATGGAAAACCAAAACTTGGTCTTTCTCTGCTTTATTTACCTTTTGATGGTGGGGGGTTAAGGTGTCCTAATGTTTTATGGTACTGCAGGGACGCACAATTACACTGTCATTTTATTTTTCCATTCCATTCCATTCCAGTTTGGGGTAATCAGCTCTTTAAACCAGGAAGGGCAGATGGCACTTTTAAAATCTGGGAATCAAAAGGACTGAGTGCTGTTTGCAGCTTATATCCACCTGAGTCAGATGTTTTCATGTCCTACAGGGAGCTACAATTGACATTTGATTTGGATAAAAAACACTATTTCAAATACTTAAAGTAAAGAAGTTTAGTGAAGGCCAGTCAAGGTAACCTCATCAAACCTCCTCATACTCCATTGGAAAAATACTTCTAAAAAGTGTTTTAAGGAAGGGCATCATCTCAGAGTTTTACAATCTTTTATTGTGCAATAGATCAAAAACACAATGAAGAGATTGGTTCCCTGGAAAGAGGATGTATCAGTCAGTATTAGTGAACCCGAATGGGAACGAGCATGTAGGAACATTCATACAATGTCAATGAGCAGTCGTCTTAGGATCCTGCTATATAAATGGCTCATGTGCGTATATATAACTCCTGTCAAACTCAATGGCTATAATAAGAGTATTCCAGATACATGTGTCAAATGTGACTCAAAAGGGACGTTATTTCACTGTATGTGGGAATGTAGCCATGTGAAAAACCTTTGGCTGGAAGTTAAGAATGTGATAGAAAGAATTGTTTTAAAACAAATGACACTGGATCCTAAACTGTTCCTAATGGCTTTATATCCAGACAAACATAGATATAGTAAGGCACAAATCACCTTTATAGACTTCAGCTCACTGAGTGCAAAAAGATGTATAGCTTTGAATTGGAAAAATGTGAATGCACCTCGTGCCTATCAGTGGTTAAAGCAGATGTCACTTGGCCGACCTTTAGAAAGAATGACGTATATCCAGAAGTCAAAACAACATATGTTTGAACACATTTGGGGACCCTTTATTGAGTTCATGAAGGATTTGGACTTTAATGCTGACCTGACACATTATTAAAAGAAGAAAAAAGACAAACTTCCAGGTCTTTACACTGTTTGGATATGATTCTTCTCTATTTTGAAGAGAAGATTTAAGTTCTCATTAGGCCCAGTTGTTGTTTTTGTTGTTTTTTATCTTTTTATTTTATTTGTTTTATTCTAAAATCATCTTGTAATACTGAACTACTCTGTTAAATTGTTAACTGAAGCTCTGTTGTATTATATTTAAAACCTCAATAAAATGTATATATATATATATAAAAAGCATCTGTCACACTAAGGCCATGTATTCTTTGATGTGATGATGTCACATGTCTCTTCTGTCTTTACAGACCATACCTGAGAGTGTGCAGGGTGCAGTGGGGGTCCTCCAGCAGAGCAGACAGCAGCTTTACTCCTGTGTCTCCTGGATGGTTGTAGCTCAGGTCCAGTTCTCTCAGATGGGAGGGGTTGGACCTCAGAGCTGAGGCCAGAGAAGCACAGCCTTCCTCTGACACCAAACAACCTGACAGACTGAACACACACATTATTGTAATCACTCAGTTCATGACTAACATTCAACCCAAATGAGACACAGAACAAGTCCTTTATCTTTAACTGTCTTTGTCTACTGGTATTGTCCAAAACAATGACCAACAGGTTCTGTAAGAACAGTGAATCATATGAACCCTCTGACCTGAGCATCTCCAGTTTACAGTGAGGACTCTTCAGTCCATCAGACAACAGCTTCAGCCCTGAGTCCTTCAAGTCGTTGTGACTCAGGTCCAGGACTCTCAGACTAGAGGACTGGGAGCTGAGGACTGAGGCCAGAGCTCCACAGCTTCTGTCTGACAGCTCACAGCGGCTCAGTCTGGAGACAGAAAACATGGTTATGTAGATATTGAATGAATCCTGTGTTAAACAAAGGTTACTCACAGAGCTTTGGTGGAGGCCTTGACCACTGGCAGCAGCCTCAGGAGAGCCTTCTCTGAAGCACAGTATCTGCTCAGCTCAAACTGGTCCAGATCTTCTTCTGATGACAGTAAGATGAAGGCCAGAGCTGACCACTGAGCAGGAGACAGTCCTTCAGACAGACGTCCTGACCTCAGGGTCTGTTGGATCTGCTCCACCAGTGAAGAATCATTCAGTTCATTCAGACAGTGGAGCAGACTGATGCTCCTCTCTGCAGACACATCCTCACTCAGCTTCTTCTTAATGTACTCTGCTGTCTTCTGATTGGTCTGGGAGCTACTTCCTGTCTGTGTCAGCAGACCGTTTAGAAGGCTCTGATTGGTCGACACTGAAAGGCCCAGGAGGAAGCGGAGGAGCAGGTCCAGGTGTCCGTTTGGACTCTGTAAGGCCTGGTCCAGAGCTGTGTGGTAGAAGTTAAGTGGATCCTTTTCATTGAAGTAATGCTTTATCATGGACATTATGGACTTTCTCTCTACCAACAAATTAATTCCAGTGTTGATGAAGGTCAGATGGACGTGAAGAGCAGCCAGAAACTCCTGCACACTCAGATGGATGAAGCAGTAGACCGTGTCCTGGTACAGACCTGGCTCCTCTCTAAAGACCTGTGTGAAGACTCCGGAGTACACTGAGGCGGCTGCAGCGTCCAGCCCACACTCGCTCAGGTCACAGTCATAGAAGATCAGGTTTCCTCTCTGCAGCTGCTCAAAGGCCAGTTTTCCCAGAGACTCCACCATCTTCCTGGTGTCTGGACTCCAGTGTGGGTCTGTCTCTGATCCTTCTTTATACTTGATGTTCTTGACTTTGGCCTGAACCACCAGGAAGAGGCTGTACATCTGCGTCAGGCTCTTGGGCAGCTCTCCTCTCTCTCTGCTCTTCAACACATGCTCCAGGACTGTGGCAGTGATCCAGCAGAAGACTGGCATGTGGCACATGATGTGGAGGCTTCTGGACGTCTTGATGTGGGAGAGGACTGTGTCGGCCTGTTCTCCGAACCTCCTCCTGAAGTACTGCTCCTTCTGAGAGTCGCTGAACCCTCGGACCTCTGTAACCATGGAGACGCACTCTGCAGGGATCTGATTGGCCGCCGCAGGGCGTGTGGTGATCCAGAGGCGAGCGGAGGGAAGCAGGCTCCCCCTGATGAGGTTCACCAGCAGCAGGTCCAGAGAGACGGACTCTGTGGGGTCTGAGAGGACACGAGAGCTGCTGAAGTCCAGAGGAAGTCTGCACTCGTCCAGACCGTCAAAGATGAAGAGCACCTGGAGGTCTTCAAAGCTGCAGAGATCTGCTTGTGTTTGACTAAAGAAGTGATGAACAAGTGACACCAGGCTGAAGCTTCTGTCCTTCAGAACATTGAGAGTTCTGAAAGTGAAGGGGAACAGCAGCTGGAGGTCCTGGTTGGCTTTGCCTTCAGCCCAGTCCAGACTGAACTTCTGAGTGAGCACTGTTTTCCCGATGCCAGCCACTCCCTTTGTCAGCACCGTTCTGATTGGTTTGTCTGAGTGGGCCGGGTCTTTAAAGATGTCTTCACATGTGATGGTTCTCTCTGCTGGTCTCCTGGAGGCTGCTTCCATGTGTCGGACCTCATGTTCCTGGTTGACCTCTGAAGAGCCTCCCTCTGTGATGTAGAGCTCGGTGTAGATCTGCTTCAGGAGGGTGGGGGCTCCTGCTTTAGCAATGCCCTCAAACACACACTCAAACCTCTGCTGCAGATCCACCTTCAGTTTATGCTGAGAACGTCCAGAAGAAACCCCTGAATGAAGACAACAGAGACAGGAGTCAGAGAAGATCACATGACCATCATGAACGTGTTCTTACTGCTCCACAGACGCTCAGCCAGCTCCTTCTGATCCATCCTCCTCAGGAAGTTCAGTGTGATCTTCAGGAGCGCCTCACTGCTGCTCCTCTGCTCCTCATCCTCCACAGGCTCTAAGCATTCTGGGTAATCTGTGCTCAGAAGCCTGAGGAACTTCTTCAGCTCCTCCAGGAAAAAAGTGGAGAGGTCCTTCTCCAGGTGCTGCACACACACATAAGAAACAACACAAATGGAGATGGGTTAGTGGCTGCTACACTATGGCAACCCAGAGAAGGACGGGTCAAATGCAGAGGACACATTTCCTCCCGGTGGCAGTAAAGGACCTTAACCTCTTTAAAGATGGAAACACATGTGACTGCATCTCGTGGATAAACTAGCATAAAGAGTCTTTTCTCCTGAAGTCAGAGTGTGTCACAGGTTTGTGTGTTGTTTTGTGCGTCTGAAGCTTTGTGTAGTGTGTGTATATAAAAGAGAGAACAGGACACATGGACATGAGTCACATCTGTGTGAAACTAGTCCTTCAGCTCAACATCTACAAACGACTGAATGACAGACCTTAAATATGGAGACCAGATGAGAGCCATGGTGCGGACCAGTGGAGACATCTGCAGCCGCTCTGTGGAGAGACAGAGACACTTATGTCCATGAGACAGAGACACTTATGTCCATGAGACTGAGACACTTATGTCCATGAGACTGAGACACTTATGTCCATGAGACTGAGACACTTATGTCCATGAGACAGAGAAAGAGACACTTATGTCCATGAGACAGAGACACTTATGTCCATGAGACTGAGAAACGTATGTCCATGAGACTGAGACACTTATGTCCATGAGACTGAGACACTTATGTCCATGAGACTGAGACACTTATGTCCATGAGACTGAGACACTTATGTCCATGAGACTGAGACACTTATGTCCATGAGACTGAGACACTTATGTCCATGAGACAGAGACACTTATGTCCATGAGACAGAGACACTTATGTCCATGAGACAGAGACACTTATGTCCATGAGACAGAGACACGTATGTCCATGAGACAGAGACACGTATGTCCATGAGACAGAGACACGTATGTCCATGAGACAGAGACACGTATGTCCATGAGACAGAGACACTTAGGTCCATGAGACTGAGATACTTATGTCCATGAGACTGAGACACTTATGTCCATGAGACTGAGACACTTATGTCCATGAGACTGAGACACTTATGTCCATGAGACTGAGACACTTATGTCCATGAGACTGAGACACTTATGTCCATGAGACAGAGACACTTATGTCCATGAGACTGAGACACTTATGTCCATGAGACAGAGACACTTATGTCCATGAGACTGAGACACTTATGTCCATGAGACTGAGACACTTATGTCCATGAGACTGAGACACTTATGTCCATGAGACTGAGACACTTATGTCCATGAGACTGAGACACTTGTGTCCATGAGACTGAGAAAGAGACACTTATGTCCATGAGACAGAGACACTTATGTCCATGAGACTGAGACACGTATGTCCATGAGACAGAGACACTTAGGTCCATGAGACTGAGACACGTATGTCCATGAGACAGAGACACTTATGTCCATGAGACTGAGACACTTATGTCTATGAGACTGAGACACTTAAGTCCATGAGACTCACTCTGTCCTGAACTTCAGTGGTTCTCCCATAGACCGGTCACTCCTGAAGTCCCATCGTTGATCCTTAGACCGGTCACTCCCGAGGGACTCACATCTGGGACCAGGTCCAGACTGAAGTTTGTGGAGGATCCTGAGACACAGAAGAAGAGAGCTTCAGTGTTGGAGAGGCCTTCACCACAGGCTGCGTCACGTCCACAATCACACAGATATCATCTACACCTGGTATCTACACCTGGTATGAGCTCTGTCCATGTCTTCAGGACACTGTGTCTGTGAGCTGCAGATACAAGGAGTGGGACTTACCAAGGACCAGCAACTCTTTATCATGGTTTAGTCCTGGTTTAGTCCTGGTTTAGTCCTGGTTTAGTTCTGGTTTAGTCCTGGTTTAGTCCTGGTTTAGTCCTGGTTTAGTCCCTGGTTTAGTCCTGGTTGAACCCCAGACATTTAGCTTCTGCAGTTCCATCTATAGATATATTTAGGATTTATTATATATTTATATATTTAGGTGGACCAATAGTCTTGATGATGCACCAGGAAGTAGACCATTCTCCGATAAACCTTATAGTTGTATTTCCTGAATTATTTCCAGAAGATACATGTATATGTATATTAAACATCACACTATAAACAGTCAGTGTTGTCTGTGTCTGAGTCAGGTTTCCCAAATAGATCCACAGCAGAAATATTCCTCAAATCAAAATGAGCTGTGGATTTGAAAACTAAAAAATCAGTTCAACGATACAGAGGAACAACAGGAGATGACCGCCCAGGCCCTGACCTGCTTAGCCTCAGACACACATGAATCACAGTCAGACTTACCCATGATCCTCCTCCTTTTTAAAGTTAATCCATCGACCAATGGAGCTCAGTGACGCCGCCCTTCTGGTGGTGAGAGGACAGTGCTCACTCTGGTCCATGCTCAGTCTCTCTGTCGCCGCCCTGCTGGTGGTCAGTCCAGACTCCCACACAATAAAACAGTGTTTGACTCTGCCCACTGTTTCTATGGTAACTGTTGTGTACATTAGACACACATCAACACATCACACATGGTACTTGCTTTCTGGTCACTAACACAGACACATGGTACTTACTTTCTGGTCACTAACGCAGACACATGGTACTTACTTTCTGGTCACTAACACAGACACATGGTACTTACTTTCTGGTCACTAACACAGACACATGGTACTTACTTTCTGGTCACTAACACAGACACATGGTACTTACTTTCTGGTCACTAACACAGACACATGGTACTTCCTTTCTGGTCACTTACACAGACACGTGGTACTTATTTTCTGGTCACTAACACAGACACATGGTACTTACTTTCTGGTCACTAACACAGACACATGGTACTTACTTTCTGGTCACTAACACAGACACATGGTACTTACTTTCTGGTCACTAACACAGACACATGGTACTTACTTTCTGGTCACTAACACAGACACATGGTACTTACTTTCTGGTCACTAACACAGACACATGGTACTTGCTTTCTGGTCACTAACACAGACACATGTTACTTGCTTTCTGGTCACTAACACAGACACATGGTACTTACTTTCTGGTCACTAACGCAGACACATGGTACTTACTTTCTGGTCACTAACACAGACACATGGTACTTACTTTCTGGTCACTAACACAGACACATGGTACTTGCTTTCTGGTCACTAACACAGACACATGGTACTTGCTTTCTGGTCACTAACACAGACACATGGTACTTACTTTCTGGTCACTAACGCAGACACATGGTACTTACTTTCTGGTCACTAACACAGACACATGGTACTTACTTTCTGGTCACTAACACAGACACATGGTACTTACATTCTGGTCACTAACACAGACACATGGTACTTACTTTCTGGTCACTAACACAGACACATGGTACTTGCTTTCTGGTCACTAACACAGACACATGGTACTTGCTTTCTGGTCACTAACACAGACACATGGTGCTTACATTCTGGTCACTAACGCAGACAAATGGTACTTACTTTCTGGTCACTAACACAGACACATGGTACTTACTTTCTGGTCACTAACACAGACACATGGTACTTACTTTCTGGTCACTAACACAGACACTTGGTACTTACTTTCTGGTCACTAACATAGACACATGGTACTTACCCTCTGGTCACTAACACAGACACATGGTATTTACTTTCTGGTCACTAACACAGACACATGGTACTTACTTTCTGGTCACTAACACAGACACATGGTACTCACTTTCTGGTCACTAACACAGACACATGGTACTTACTTTCTGGTCACTAACATAGACACATGGTACTTACTTTCTGGTCACTAACACAGACACATGGTACTTACTTTCTGGTCACTAACATAGACACATGGTACTTACCCTCTGGTCACTAACACAGACACATGGTACTTACTTTCTGGTCACTAACACAGACACATGGTACTTACATTCTGGTCACTAACACAGACACATGGTACTTGCTTTCTGGTCACTAACACAGACACATGGTACTTGCTTTCTGGTCACTAACACAGACACATGGTACTTGCTTTCTGGTCACTAACACAGACACATGGTACTTACATTCTGGTCACTAACGCAGACACATGGTACTTACTTTCTGGTCACTAACACAGACACATGGTACTTACTTTCTGGTCACTAACATAGACACATGGTACTTACCCTCTGGTCACTAACACAGACACATGGTACTTACTTTCTGGTCACTAACACAGACACATGGTACTTACTTTCTGGTCACTAACACAGACACATGGTACTTACTTTCTGGTCACTAACACAGACACATGGTACTTACTTTCTGGTCACTAACACAGACACATGGTACTTACTTTCTGGTCACTAACACAGACACATGGTACTTGCTTTCTGGTCACCAACACATACACATGGTACTTGCTTTCTGGTCACTAACACAGACACATGGTACTTACTTTCTGGTCACTAACGCAGACACATGGTACTTACTTTCTGGTCACTAACACAGACACATGGTACTTACTTTCTGGTCACTAACACAGACACATGGTACTTACTTTCTGGTCACTAACACAGACACATGGTACTTACTTTCTGCTCACTAACATAGACACATGGTACTTACCCTCTTGTCACTAACACAGACACATGGTACTTACTTTCTGGTCACTAACACAGACACATGGTACTTACTTTCTGGTCACTAACACAGACACATGGTACTTACTTTCTGGTCACTAACACAGACACATGGTACTCACTTTCTGGTCACTAACACAGACACATGGTACTTCCTTTCTGGTCACTTACATAGACACGTGGTACTTATTTTCTGGTCACTAACACAGACACATGGTACTTACTTTCTGGTCACTAACACAGACACATGGTACTTACTTTCTGGTCACTAACACAGACACATGGTACTTACTTTCTGGTCCCTAACACAGACACATGGTACTTACTTTCTGGTCCCTAACACAGACAGACTGATCCTTATTGTTCCTGAAGAAGTCTCTGTCGTGTTGCTCTGAAACACACAAGACCAAGGAGGAAGTCGTCACAACCGACTCAACTGGTTTGGCAGATTTTTCTATAGTCTCTCTCTGGTATATAAATCTGGAAACTTTCTGGTCTCTCTCTCTGATCTCTTTCTGGTTCCTCTCTTTCTGGTCTCTCTCTGGTTTCTAAATCTGGTGTCTCTCTGGTATCTCTTTTTCTGGTTTTGCAAGAGACAAGCCCCAATATGTCACACCCAAGAGACAAGACCCAACATGTTACACCCTGGCTCTACAGTTACAACAGGATCTAACTAAAACCAAAAGGGGGAAGCTCCACACATCTCACATGGTACTTACTTCCTGGTCACTAACACTCACAGACACATCACACATGGTTTTACGATATCAAAGGTTTGAAGAAATGTTTTTGGACGATCAGGAGAATCAACGCTCAGAAGAAAGTCTGGATTCTGGGATCAACAGAAAGAAAAACTTACCTGGTTTTACTCACACAGTGAGTGTCAGTAAATCACCCGCAGCAGATGTGAATCCCGCAGTGACTCCACCTGGTCTGACTCCACCTTTCTCTGTTTGAATGTTTAGCTCCGCCCCCAACTCGCTCACAGGCTTCTCATTTCCCCTACGCTCTCATCCCACAGAGCCAGCTAGTTTTATTTGTGATCTGCAGTGTTGGGCACGTTACTTTGAAAAAGTAATTAGTTATAGTTACTAGTTACTTCTCCCAAAAAGTAACTGAGTTACTAACGGAGTTACTCCACTATAAAAGTAACTAGTTACCAGTAAAAGTAACTATTGCGTTACTTTTTCGTTTTGTTCTGGAACATAATGTGCACTCGACGTGCGCATTTTTACCGTTAACCTTTAACCTCAGTGAGTCTGAAATAGTGCCAATATTTCCATCTAGAACAGGCTGTTTTGCTGCTGAAGTCCTGTTCACTCTTCATCTCTCTCTGTGCTGTAAGCACTAAACACCAACACCCGCCACTGTGAATGTGGAAACACCGGTGAAGCACTGACTTCAGTCCAATCAGATGAACATATATATCATAGAAATCAACTGGACCTAGAGAGCGGCTTATTTGTTTGGCTACAGCAGAATATGTTTCATGCCCGCATTGTTTGTTCATACAAAACGCAAAACTATGAGTTATGGGTCTTACCTTATAGCTATACCTTATAAATGACCTGCACAGACCACTTTGCTTCAGACCAGTTCCATGTTTAAGTCCAGATAATAGTTTGAGCGTAGATATGTAATCCTCCATTTGGAAATGAGTCCAATGAGTTTTAAAAAGTAAAACAAAACGCGTGTGTCCTCCATAAACTCCTCTGTTTTGCTGCAGCCGGCTGCATCCGATTTCTAAAATCAACTGTCTTACATTTCACCTCTCTTTCTTATCATTCCTATAGTCATTGAAAAATTACCCTAAGTGCATTTTAAATGATCTTAAATATGTTATATGTATGTTAGCCAAACCTGTTGCTGTCCTTAGCAGATAAACCAGGAGGAGAAAGGAGCTTATCGATGGAATTGTATGCAGCCTTCTGCGCTCACATGAGCTCCTCTGTGGCTGGCCTCACGGTGATACAAGCCGTGGTTGAGCGTGATTAAGACCCATATTTGTTTTAAAAACACAATTTATGAGCAATCCTCTCAACTGTAGACATGTAGATTGTAAAGGAAATATGTTTTACATCAGCCAATAACATCTGAGAGGTTTTCTCATCCTCCCTTCTCTCATGACAACACGCGCACGAGTCCTATCACGAAGTAAAAATAGAAGTTCACTGTGCGTCTTGAGTAACGCGCAGTAACGGGATGTCGGAAATGCTAACGGCGTTATAGTTACAGTCAAAGTAATTAGTTGGATTACTCGTTACTGAAAAAAGTAACGCCGTTATTCCCATCACTGGTGATCTGATACGTATGTAAACGATAGCATAAGTGCAGCTTCCTGTAAGCTGCAAAACAATCACTGTTTATGAAAATAAATCGGGTATAGCTTCTGTACAGTTTTTCTCTATTGCTACAACCATGGCCGGAGTGGGACAATTTTTTTGGCCCGGGAATTCTGGGTCAGACCGGCCCTTCTGATGAAGTAGTCTATCAAAAAATCTGAACTGCCTGCTGTTGTAATATTCATAACAACCAGCAGGTGGCCTAAGATAAGATATGATATACTCAAGTTTTGTAAATTTCTAGACAAGTACTATTCAAATTATTCTTTGTTTACCCCTTTAGACTTCTCAGTCTAGTCACAAAATAACTTAATAATGCATATTTAAACTTTAATGTTGTCCCAGGGGAGAACTAAAAGCAAACTAAATGTGAACCTGTATCAAGACGAGAAAACACAAACTGCACAGTATTTAAATCAAACAAACCCAA